ACAGAGGAAGGAGAAGAACCAGCATAATACCGTGCCTCCTGCTCCCAACCCCAAACCGGTCCCGAAGGATACCATGGTTGATCGTATCAACAGCTACTGAGAGGTCTAAGAAAGCCAAAAAGGCTGCACACTCCATCCTGAGGCTTCCAAAGGTCTTTGAGAAGTGCAATCAATGCTGTTTAAAAGAAAACACATCCAAAATGTGTATTTAATATAATACATTCAGACTTTTTGCTTGTATTTCAAAACTGAAGTTAGGGGCCTGGAGGCTAAGACATATGAAGAACAGTTTCAGGGATTAGGTATGTCTGGTCTAGTGAAAAGAAGGACTAGAAGAGACATGTTGGCAGTGTTTCAATATATTTAAAGGGCTGCCCCAAAGAAGAGGGGGTCAACCTATTTTACAAAGCACCAGAAGGCGAGACAAGAAGCAATGGATGGAAACTAATCAAGGAGAGAACCAACCTAGAACTAAGCAAAAATTTCCTGACAGTGAGAACAATCAACCAGTGGAACAGCTTACCTTCAGAAGTTGTGAGTGCTCCATCACTGGAGGCTTTTAAGAAGAGACTTATTCTGATGAATATAGCTAGCATAGGATGATGTTGAGGATGAATGCACATTAAAGCGATATTGGGCATATAAATTACTCCATCTATTCACCCATCCATCCCTAACTACATTGATTTTATTAAACCCTGAGCACAAACACGTACCTTTGAAGGAAACAAAGAAGCTTTGTGTCCCTAATTGTGTTGATCAAGAGCAGCCTAGATCGTCCCTGCAACGTTCAGGATTAATATAATGTCAGTGCTTATATTTAAAAAAGGCACACTCAACTAACTACCCACAACCCTACAGCAGATTGCAAGCTCCCGCTTCCTGGTTTTGCTTCATTGGCTTACACTGATGAATCTCCCTGTGCTGTGCAGAAAATATTTCCTGATCCTCTTAACACATTAGGGAAGCTAATTAGCATCCAAACTTCCGGTGAAATGGGCCACTTCTAATGTTGCCTCCCATTAAGTCTGATTTACGCCAGTGCAACCCTGCTTGTTTTTCCCCAAGCTACCTCATGAGATCATATGGAGAAGCTCATTGTGGTCAAGGCTGGGTACAAATGCAGTGTGGAGTAGCCAGCAATCCTGTCCACTCTCCCTGCAACCTGGTGGGAGGGTTTTCTTTCTCTTTTTGCCGTTTTTTTTAGTTCCTATAAAATGATGAGAGTGACAGCTGTGATGACAACTAGGATGATGCTATTTAGAGGTTTCTAAAGCATACGTGCTTCCAGTCAACTCCTGAGTCCCAAATGAGATAAGAAGGCTTCAAAACAAGGTGACATTTACTCTAAAAGAGGCAGACAGATCTAAAGTCACCCTGTTCTGAACTAAAATGCTGTATGAAGTTCCAGTCAGGATTGTGATATATATGGAGCAATGTGGTGTTGAATATGGAGCAAGTAGGAAGTACAGATAGTCTTCGAATTATGACCACAATTGGAGCCCAAAATTTCTATGGCTAAGCGAGACATGTGTTCAGGGAGTTTTGCCCCATTTTATGACCTTTCTCGCCACAGTTGTTAAGCGAATCATTGCAGTTGTGAAGTTAGTAACACGGTTATTAAGTGAATCCGGCTTCCCGATTGACTTTGTTTGTCAGAAGGTTGTAAAAGGTGATCACATGACCTCGGGATAGGGCAACCATCCTAGATATGAGTCAGTTGCCAAGCATCTCAATTTTGATCATGTGACCACAATGATGCTGCAATGATCGTAAATGTGAAAAACATCATAACTCACTGTTTCAGCACTGTTGCAACTTCGAACAGTCACCTAATGAACTGTTGTGATGAACCGTGGTGGCGCAATGGTTAGAATGCAGTACTACAGGCTACTTCTGCTGACTGCCAGCTGCCAGCAGTTCGAATCCCACCAGACTCAAAGTTGACTCAGCCTTCCATCCTTCCAAGGTCGGTAAAATGAGGACCCAGATTGTTGGGGGCAATAGGCTGACTCTGAACCAGAGGTCCCTGACCTTTTGGGCACCAGGGACAAGTTCCATGGAGAGAGGCTTTTCCGCAGACCAGAGGGTGCGTGGTTTTGTGTGCTGCCTGCATCCTGAAGATGGGGATTTGCTTGTTTGTGCAGACCAGTTGCTGGCATGCCACAGCCCAGTACTGGTCCACGGCCTGGGGGTTGGGGACCCCTGCTGTAAACCACTTAGAGAGGGCTGTAAAGCAACATGAAGCGGTATATAAGTCTAAGTGCTATTGCTATTGTAAGTCAAGGACTCCTGTACATCAGTGTTTCCCAAACTTGACAATTTTAAGGCATGTGGACTTCAACTCCACCTGGCTGTGGAATTCTGGGAGTTGAAGTCCTCATGCCTTAAAATTGTCAAGTTTGGGAAACACTGCTGTATATGCTGGTGCAATGACTATTGGACACACACATACATAAACATGCAAATGGGGGATGGGGAGAAAGACTTGCTTGAAATGCCCACGATGAGGGAAAAAGAAGGATTCAGTAACTGAAAGGTTATCCTTGAATCAGAAATCTTGAATTAAGGTTAATTCACTGCTCTCTCCAGTTGTGATCCTTGCCAGGAGACTATTGGTCATTTTCGTAAAGACACATCTTGGCAAGGGCTGTCCTTATGAGGACAAGGCCTTTCAATAATTGACTGAGTGGTGTAGAGCAGGCCAGAGATTGGTACAGAAAAGCCATTCAAAGAAGAAGGTAGAATAAGAGTCCTTGGAAATTACGAGGAGTCTTTTGAACGGTGCAGCGGTGGTCTGAGCAGGTTATTTCCATGACTGAGAGATGAAAAGAAACACAGGGCAAGTTGTTGATGATGGATTTTGATAAACTCAGTCAAAGAATTCTGCAGGGATGTTTGCATCCCATGAGTATTTGTAAGAAGAGGATAGGGGTTCAAATTCCCAGCTGTGCCTACCATTGTGATATCATGCATTCCCCCCCCCCTCCTTTCCTGGGATGCCCCTGGCAATCTGCTTTGGAGACATTGGTGTTGCCTGAAGAAATGGACAGGAGGAGGCAATGCAGAAGAGAAATGTCTTCCTCCTTAGAAAAATGGTCAGACTGTATTAACTCTCTTGTGACCTTAGATAGTAGGACTGAAAAGAATTTATGTGTGCAGAAGCTGCTTGTAATGTTAGGCAGTGGCAATGGGATATTTATCAGGGATGAAGGAATAATTTAAAAAAAGAGTGGGTGTGACACCCCAAAGTTCTTTCTGTAAAGGAAATATTGCAGCACAGCCTCATCATGTCTAGTGTTTTGCCCAATTCACTAAGAGAAATGTGAATTTTACTCCTAAATGATAAAAATCATTTCAAAGATACAGGGAGAATCTTCCAAAAAGAATCAAACTCCATTTTTTTTCTGCGTTCATCAGGTTGACCCAGGAAAAAAAAATGTGGCTGTTTTAAAGAATGGGAGTCAGATGTTACATACAAGCATCTTTATGGCACCAAATTACAGAACCACAATTAAACTATATCAGCTCCCTTTTATAGAATACAGAATAACAGAGTTGGAAGGGACCTTGTAGGTCATCTAGTCCAATCCCCTGCTCAGGCAAGAGACCCTATAATATCATTTCTGACAAGTTTTGATGATATTCAAAATGAAGGTGACCAAAAGTCACCTCATTCTTCCTTATGCTGGGCCCACAATTGCTAAAATTGTAATCTTTAATGTCATGGGGCCTAGGAAATGTATCAAACAGAAGTCCACAGCTCCAGAGCAGGAAAGATAGAATTTCTTTCTTTCTTTACTTTTATTCAGCTTTCCTGCCAAATAATAAACCCATCCCAAGATTAAAATAATTAAAACCCCAACTAAAAAGCATGCATTCATTTTAAACCGAGATTTAAACAATTGGGTATTTATTGAAAGTCTTTAAAAATGCAATAGATGCTTTTTAAAAGATCATTGGGAGAGCCTATGAAGACATCAGCTAAATAAGGCTAGCAAAAACCACAGGGAGTAAAAAAGAAAAAACAACAACACAGTGTTTTATTTTCCATGTGAAAACAAAGAGCTGGCACTAATTCATCTTCAGGCACCAAGAAAATAAGGACCCACAACTGAAAATTCCACTTTATGAGTTATAAGTTGATGCCAGTCAAGTCTTATATAAAAGGACAACTTGGGGAATAAATTCTCTAATTGGACAGATTCCCATGGGAGCAGCCTGGCTTTTCATTACTGGTTTTCTGCATCCAGATGCTTCCAATGTCAGGTATTAACATCAAATGTATGAAAGAAAAAAAATCCCTGGTTCCTACCACTACATTCCTTTTAGGAAATAAGCTAACACACTGAGGGAATAAATTGACAAGCTGTCTTGTGTTGTTACAAAGAGAAAGAAAGGGGGGGGGGGAGAAGAAAAAAATGACATCCATCCATCAAAGTCCATGGGGGAAGTTTGCTTTTGAAGTCCATCAGTTTAGGGGTCTCCCTTCTTACAAACCTTGCCTCCTGCCCACCCCATCCATACCCCCCACACAGCACAAAACTTAGCCACTGGAGTCCAGGACAACAAATGGCAGTGTGTCATGGGGGTTGGTTGATGTGTGTCTATTTAGTCTCAGCATAGGCCGAAATGCCATCATTAATTCATTACCCAGCTGCCTGTCAAATAAATTGGCAATTACACCCACCGTCGGAGCCTGGAATTTCAGTAAATAGCATGTTTCTGTTGATGGAGCCGTTGAGAAATGTTAAAAAAAGAAAAGGAGGGGGGAGGAAATTAAACAAGGAGAACATGTTTGTTTCGCTAGCAAAATGACAAGGGACGATGCTTGTCAAGGCAACGTTGGAGGGGGGGGAGAAAAGCTCTTGTAAAAGAGTCAGACAGGAGGGAGGTGGACTGGAACAGGTTTCAGAAGAAGGGAGAAACATGCAAAAATACACAGAGGGGTAACTCTCATTTGTCTATCTTTTTTCTTTTCTTTCTTTTTTTCCTTGCAGAGCTCCGCTCCTTCCAGCTTGGGAACAGGCTACTTTGTAAGTGGATCTCAACTTTTTAAGATACGTGTCTTGGAACAGTGTCAAAAAATGGTAATGCCCAAGGAGGGAGATTTTGCAGTAGACAGTATTTCAGCTGATGGGTTTGGCCAATTATTTCCATGGCTTTCACTGGTTGGCCTGCAATCCAAAACTATGACCGTTGTTTTGAAAAGAGTCTCTTGCGTTCCCACCAACTTGCTTTCTTAATCACCCCATCTTCCTTAACCTCCATTCTTCCACCCCACCCAGTAACTGTGCCCTCTCCCCCTTTATAGTCACTTTCCTTTATGTTGTTGACTTCTCCCTTTATCCAGGTTAATCCTTCCTTTTCCTAGGAGTGTTTTTCAAGGGTCCATCTAGGTTCTACTTTGTAGAAACCAATCTACTGTGACTAGAAGGCTGGTTTCATACAACACATTAACCCTGGTTAAAACGAGACTGGATTGTCAGAGATTCAGTATGGGGGGAGGGGCAGCCTTTATTTTATCTGAGCTTATTGTCATCACATTATGTCATAATATGGGTTTTGCGGAGAGGGGGCATAACATTTCATGTGAATGCAGAACTTTTATTAACCCAGCTTTGATGTTCAGCATGCTGTGTGAACCTAGCCAATTTTCTGGATATACATACACAGATATGCATGCTTGCCCTTAGAAAAGGGATTTAAAGATTCACTGAATAGATCTGAAGTGGTGGTCCTACCTCTTTAGCTACCCCATGAATCTTAGGACTTTTCCCTCTTCCCTGTAGAAAGGCCTATCACTTTCTAATCTAGGCTGAGGCCTCTGGTAATAGTTTAGTAGCTTGTTCATCTCCACATTCCCAAGTATTTCACCTGCTCCTTTGATTAAAGTCCTGAGCCTTGGATATCATCTATGGAAGAAGGGTAAGATGGGAGCAAAACGTGTCTTTCTAGCTTACATGGTGATTGTCCAATGAATCCCAGGCTCCTGTGTGAAAAATAAAAGAAAAAGTGAGGTACAACTAATCAAGCACTGTATACAATTAATAATATATTCCTATTAAATGCAATGCAAATAAGTTGCGCAGAGCATCTAACCTGCTGGACTCACATCCAATATTTGGCCAGGACATTCCCAAATAGTCTTGAGAAGAACAGTACAAGTTAAGAAATGCTGTTTCCTTATATCCTGAATGAAAGAGCAAAAGAAATGAACTCATGTAGATAAAGCTCCATTTTTTTGTGTTTTCTTCTATTAATGAATGTTTAAATAAGGATTATCCAGCTGACTGGAGAATATATTTTCATACAATAGTGACATCAGTTTCTTGATTCTGCATGATATGTGTTGATTTTAAAACAAGTTTGAATGGAATGTTTTAATGTAATAAAAATACAAGTGGGATCATTGGGATATATGAAGCTCCCTTTGATAGATTTTCTTATTCATTCTTTCATGCATATTATTATGTGACCACCCAACTCAAACTATGTGACTAGGGAAAAGAAGGAAGGGAGGCAGGGAGGAAAGGAAAGGAAAGGAAAGGAAAGGAAAGGAAGAAACGATAACTAATTGAAATATATTAAACAATAAAATGCTAGAGAGAACTGAAAATTGCCACAATCCTAAGGGAATACTTTGTAGCTCAGTTTGCAGGAATTGATGGAAATTGGCATTTTAGAGTAAAACGGGGGCTTTTCCAGCATTATCTGGTGATCTCAGGAACTAAACTTGATAGATCTGTCATGCAAGAGGCAGTATGACAAAGGTATTGGACTAGGATGGAGGAGACCTAGTTCAAGGTCATTTCCAGACATGGAGATTCACAGAGTGCTTATGGGTCAATCCACTACCTCAGTCCAACCTGCTACTTGCAGTTGTGGGATGAAATGAAAGTGTCTTGAGGTTGTGGAGAAAAGGAAGGATATAAATTGATGAAGATGAAAGTGCTGATGGGTCTCCGTAGTGTTTCTCACTGACCACGTGCTTAGAGCTGTTTGGGAACTGACTTCCTATGGATGAAAAAGAAACATGTAAGAGGAACATGTATTCATTGGAAAACTCATTCCTTCTCAGAGGTAAGAGTTGAGAAACAGAAGTAGAAGCCTCCAGCGATTGGTGGCATCCAAGAATCAAAGATTGTGTGTCCTCGACCAAAGGTTATTCATTTGTCTGGATAATGGCTTATGGTTGCCTGGTTATTGTTGTCTGGATGATGGCTTATGATTATAGTTCTCCCTGGTGAGAGTAAACAAATGGGCAGCTTGTACGGGAAACCAAGCCATCTTTACTGACTGCAGAATAATTCATGTTGCAGTGGAAGAATCTCAACTCTTGATGTTGCAGTTTTCACATTTTTAGCCCTGGTAGACCCTGACTACAGGCCACAATTGAGCCTAACATTTCTATTCCTAAGCAAGACAGTTGTTAGGTGGATCCTGCCCCATTTTATAACCTTTCTTTGCCACAGTTCTTAAGTGAGTCACTGAAGTTGTTAAGTTAGTAACACGGTTGTGAAGTGAATCTGGCTTCCCCATTGACTTCGTTTGTCAGAAGGTCACAAAAGGTGATCACATGACCCTGGGACCAGTGGTGGGATTCAAATATGTGAACAACCAGTTCTCTGTGTGGATGCTGCTTCCGGAAGTCCATTCTGGGCCTGGGCAACAAACAATTAGCTAACGGTTCTGTCGGAGTGGTGCAAACTGGCTGAATCTCACCACTCTAGAACTGTCATAAATATGAGTCAGTTGCCAAGAGTCCGAATTTTGATCACGTGACCATGGGATGCTACGACAGTCTTAAGTGTGAAAAATGGTCATAAGTCACTTTTTTCAGTGCCGTTGTAACTTTGAACAGTCATTAAATGAACCATTATAAGTCGAGGACTACCTGTACTCTCATCTTTCTTTTGACCCTGTGCAGGAGCCAGGACTGTGATACATAAGAATAAACAGTAGATTTCAATCCACCCTGGTCTCTCTTTCATCTCTCTATCTCTGTCTCTCATCTTCTATTTATCATCATCAACTAAACATTTATGTCCTTTGTTTTCACTCTCATTGCTGAAGAGACTTACCGGAAGAGTGAAACCTGTTTCACAGAAGTGATGGTTAATGTAATTCCGGCTCAGTTTTCCCTGAATATCAACAAATGAAGTTAAACTGACTTTCTATATATCATCTGGCTGCTTGACAGCAGTGCCTCTTCCTTCCACAGATATCCTTCTGTCTTCAGTTGCTGAGGAAAATAAACATTTTTAGCATCCCATGCCTCGTATAACTCCCCCGAAAGCAAGATGAGGTGTCAGTGACTACATCTGTCAGGAAATCTACAGACAGCTCAAGCTGTCAAGAACAGGCATGCTATGTGCTAATAATGCATGGCTGTCTTTTCTTTGCTCACCAAGCTGGCATTTGCAAAGTACAAGCCACTTTGTATGAGCTTACAGGAGTGCGCGCGCGCGCGCGCGCACACACACACACACACACACACACACACACACACAGTTTCCTCCCTAGCGGCCTCTGTTATGGATGTATCACCTCAAAGCTCTGAAGATCCCAATGCATTCCAAATACCAGAATGAATGTCATTAATTAATTTGACCCTGTCTTAATATTCTTAATGTTCAAACATTTTTTTGTGGCTTAGAGTGTGGGGTGAACCCAGCCCGTTCAATTAATTTGTGGCTGAATCTGTTGTGCAAGCCAAGAAGGTGGGTTCATTAACCAGGTTAAGTTGTCTTGTACACTGTGATAATCAGACTAAGAGTCAAGAATATCATCATAGAATATCAATCCAAAAATGTCTTTATTACCCAAGACTTGGCTAATTGACCTCTTCTTCACAGGTTTAGGAATTAGACCACATATTCTTTTGCATATTTCATTTATACCTATTGCTGGCTTGCTTATGTGAATGCTTGTACTTTGTCTGCCATTTATTTATTTATATTATTTTGACTTAGATGCCACCTGGCTCCAGTCAACTGTGGAAGGTTCATAACACAAAAAGAGAGTAAATATGCAATCCAGATACAAAGGATAGCAATAAACAAATGGCATGTCTAGGGAACACAACATACTTCATATTCAGAACATGAGATTCTGTCCATCCTAGCTCAAAGTTTAGGAGAAGAGCTGGGTCTTTCAGACCCTCCAGAACACCATCAGGTTGGGGACAACCTGGATGTCAGAGGGAGCCTCATTCCAGAGAATCGGCACCATAACAGAGAAGGCATGTTTCTGGGTTCTGATAGATAGCATTGCTTCACTGAAGAAATCTGGAGTATGCCAACCCTATTGGAATGAACCAGCAAGACTGATATCTTGGGAGTTATGTGATATCTCAAGTAGCCAGGCTCTGTGCCACGTAGGTGACTTTATAGGTGACTAGACAAATCATGGCCCCTTGGGACATTGTTTTTGGGATAATTCACTACCTGAAAAGAGAAACAGAATGACCACAGGTTGGAAAAATAATGGAAACAGGAATGACTTCCTGCCTATTTCCCCATTGACTTTCCATGTGGGAAGCTGGCATGGAGCATTGAAGGCGATGATCATATGACTATGGCAGTGTGACTGCACAGCAATGCTGAACTGCCACAACTTTGCCAAATTTCAATCCCACGGGAGTGATGAGTCATAGATTATGAATGCATTCTTTAAACTAACCCATTTGAGATACATTGCTTTAAACATTGTTGCCCTAAGATGCACCGATTCACTTTGTTGCCACAAAGAAGAGGGAGTCAAGCTATTGTCCAAAGCTCCTGAAGGCAGGACAAGGAGCAACGGGTGGAAACTAAGCAAGGAGAGAAGCAACCTAGAACTAAGGAGAAACTTCCTGACAGTTAGAACAATTAACCAGTGGAAGAACCTGCCTCCAGAAGCGGTGAGGGCGCCAACACTGGAAGTTTTTAAGAAGAGACTGGACAGCCATTTGTCCGAAATGGTATAGGGTTTCCTGCCTGAGCAGGGGGTTAGACTAGATGACCTCCAAAGTCCCTTCCAACTTTATTTATTA